CTAATGGCATCTTAATGGATTGCTGACCCATTTCCTGTGGGATGGCAGCATGCAAGTCTGGCTGGAATACAATTAATTTCTTAGGAAGTGTTCTGAAGAGTTTCCTAGATAAAAAGGAAATGTTGTGCAAATCTTTCTTTATAAATGGAGAAAGTTAGGGAAAACTACAGCAAATCCCAATGTATTTTTCAACAGCCAGATCACTGATTGTGTGTGTGTGTGTGTGTGTGTGTGTGTGTGAACACCATATCAAGACTGTTTTCGAGAACGGTACCATTTTTTATTTCATAACAGGTGCAAATGATTTTTTGATGGGAATGGAGCAGTTCTTTTAGAAAGAATACTCAGATGCAAAGAACACTAGTCAGTAACCCCACTACCAAACAATGGACATGTGCATTTTTGGCTTCTGCAATTCTCCTCCTCCTCAAACCAAATATGCTTCCATTCATCTACCTTATCAGCATTTCTATCATAGTCCCAGAGTGGTGCTAGGGGCCCAGAATGGTGAGTAAGAAGTTGAACATTTTGAACACACTTTTGAGCTGACAGTTGAAAAGGAAATTCAGCACTCTGAGAATAAAGCTCCCCCCAGGAACTCCAGGAACAACCCAGCTGTTGTGCTGTAGTTATGTGTCAAGATAACAAACTGAAAGCAGGAAATGCTAACCTAGTGAATTTGTAGGGATGGTCTAAGTGTAATGTTGAAAGAAAAGTTAACTCTTAATACTACCTAAGGACAGGAAACATACTGTCCTTATCATATATGTGCCCTATGCCTGGGTATGCGTGTAGACACACACGCACATATATGCGTGTACCCACATTTACGCATGCGCACGCACACACGCCATGCATACATCATATATGTATTTGCATACAAACATGGTTTGCAACCCAATATTGAAGATTATTTTTGTTTAAATCTTCATCCTTCTATCATTGAGGACGTGTATTTTACAAAGAACAGTTTATAGACAAAGCAACAGAGATGGTAAATGGTTGAGGACAGTCTTATGCAAATAGGGTTCTATGTATGGCATGAATGCTCTTACTCCTTCCTTTTTGCCCTCCCTCTCCTGACCAACCAGATCCAAATAATCTTTACTGGCTGCTAAATTTCTCCTGGGAAATCAAGCGACTCTTTAGAATTGCAGTAATAAACGACAATTTCTTACAAAAACACATGTAAAGTAACTACAGAATGAAGTATTCAACTCAGAGAAAGGAACTGCTAACACATGTAACATGGAAAGTACCTGATAAAAGTCTCTTTGGTGCCATTCAATTATGGCATCAGCAGAGACACAAAAATCCTTCCAATTATTTCAGTGGAATCTTCATTTATTCATTATTTCAGAGGCTGAGCAAATGGTTTGTGTAAACATATCCTTCAGTAACACGTGCATGTTTATTTTAGCCATCTGAAGGCTTCTTCTATGTTTATATAAGCCATCAGACACATACAGCCACTCACTTGTGGCTTTGCTTCTCTTGAAAGGGTGAAGGCAGAGAAGAGGGAATGAAACAATAAATCCAGTTGCTCTTTTGCATAAAGCACCTCCTCCAATGTTTTAAAATAACTAATGTTTATATTATTCTTGGATTGTCCTTCGGCTTTCTTTTTCATTCAATTATATTGCTCTTTCATACTTGATAGTACAAGCCATGTTCAGGCTATAGTTTCACAAAAAAAGAAAGCCGGTCAGGGAGTTAACTGCTATGTTTGTTTATACCTACATAACTCACATATGCCACAGTATAATTTGTCCACATCGGAGGACAAAGCGCAGACACAACAGAACAGCATCAGCAACTCATCACCTCTTACCCTCCCAAGAGCTGAGCCCCTCCTGACTCAAGAAATGAGCCCTTCCCCAACGGATTTCACTCTGGGTTAACTGCAGTAACCTTTGGGTTAGACAGAAAAATTCACGTTTTCAAGGTGCAAGCAACACACACACACACACACACACACACACACAGAGCTCACAAAATTCCTAGGTCAAAACAACAAAACACCTTCAGGGTTGCAACCTAAATAAGTCTGTGAAAACTTTCCGATGGAGTCTGCCATGGTTCCTAAGGGACTATTTCTCCGCTGGAGTGGGGGTGGGGCCGAGGGGGAGGGGGATGGAGGAAATCTTCCAGCTTTGATACAGTGGCCCAGCTCCGCAGGCACTGCCGTTTCCAGTCCTGACCAAGGTGCTGCTTGTGACCTGGAAACACGTCTACAGGAGGATGGGCTTAAAGCAGAAAGGGAGGCCACCGCGGACAAGGGATTGTACTAAGAAAGAAATGGCAACAAACAACAATCAAAAGAAAATAAAACGAAGCAAAGCCAAAACACAGAGCAAAACCCAAACACCTTCTTAGCTTTGCCCTTTTCTACTACAAAGTCTCCGGGGGATTGCCTTTTGTTGAAAACAAAAAGCAACAACCACCACAAAAATAGCCTGATAGTTTCTTTATTATTCCATTATGACAAAGGCAGATTATTTAATTCTCTGGTTGAAGGGCTCTACATTTCTCAGATATTTTCAATTTAATCAGATAATTTTAAAGCTGCAGCAGTGCCCTGATGATTTTAGATGTCTGTTGTCTGCCTTAAAAGTAGTAGTATTGCAGAAGTTTACGATTTCCTTTTTCAATAGCTTTTCTAGGAAAAAAAAAAAACCACGAAGTTTCATAAATAAGCACAGAGCACAAACTATAAACCATGAATGTGTTATGAATATACTGCGCCACAGACACAGCCTATCTGTATTATCAGATATGGACTCTACTATTAGAGTCCTATTAAAATAAAAATTGCTGTCTTGTTTGAGCATATTTATTGTAAACTGCAGGATACTTAGGTTTTCAGAACTGCGAGCACCTGTGTCAGTCACCCAGCATTTGGGACAGCCTGCCACAGAGATTCAATAAACACCTGTGGAATGCATGAATGTGATGGCCACCATTATCAATGATGTGCCTTCTGAATCATGATAAAAAGGGAATAAACCCAAAAGCTACCTTTATAAAGCCTTTTGAAGTATTAAAGCCATTCTCTATATTCCATTAACTCTTTTTCAAAAAAGTGTTACTATCTTTGAGAGGGGAAGAAAAAAATCTTTCCAAAATGAGTTCTGAGTTTCTTTCCAACTCCTTCTAACCTGAAGCTGGTTACCACACCAATTTTTTCAACAAGAAGGGATTTTGGAACATGAACAATGCTCTCCTAAGAACTAGGTGTAGTCATCATATTAATTCACTCCGATCCATGTGTTCTGTGGTGATTCATTGTCCACTCACCTTTTCGCTTTCGGGGATATCAACTTTCGATTCAAAAAATGACTAGGAACTGGGTGCGGTTATATTTCAAATCACCAATAACATATCTTTATTTGGCTTTAATGTTCTTTATAGAGGTGCTAGCCTACTTTAGAAGTAAATGTCAATCGAAAATCCACAGATTTAGAAGTTCACACAGCTATAGCCACATTTAAAAATACGAGTAGACTTCACCTGATTTGCAGTTCTTATCAATACGGTAAGGTTTAGATGCAGACAGAGTCCGTTTCGCTGACTGACAGAGAGAACACGGACTATCAGGAAGTTATTTAATCAAATTAAATCCAAACATGGTGTTATCAAATCCAATTAAATTAACTTAAAAATAATTAAGATCACTTAAATAAGACATTTTCATTGGATTTAATTCATAATCTTATTAAGACTATTTAAATAAGATGCTGTCCTTGTGCTTATTTTCTTTTTTATAAGCCTATGTTGTATTTTTTTCCAAATGGAGGAATTATATAAGCTTCTTGGGGAAAAAATTAAAATATGTAAAAATGTATACATTTTAAAGTGGATGCTATACCAATCTTTAAAAAGAGGAAAAGTCCTATCGTATTCGTTTTAGGAAGAGTATTAAAAAAAAACTCATTACATTTTTAAATGGACTCCAAATAATTTTCACCTGAATAAAACTGGACATTTTGTTAATTGAATTCTTTTAAACTCGACTCTTCAACGGTTTCTATCAAGTAAAATGGAGATGGGCAACACGTTTACAACTGGTATCAGAGTATGTACTTTTCACCCAGGCATTATAATTATAGCGGGGTTGGAAAATTATGTTGGCTCTACTTTTGGTGAACTCCTTATGGGATTACCTCACTCTTCTCTATAAACTTTTATCTCTTATTACATATGATTATGCCATGAATCTTAATTATTTAATTTGTCAATTTGACACAATTTGATCTTTATTAAAATAATACATAAGAAGCTGACTTAGCACTACTAACTTTCCAAAACCAATACACGAGACAATATCAAACTAGTTTCGAAAATGAAGTTTTAGAATAATTTTCTCAGCCAACCAAATAAATTCAGTTCTCAATGATTTATATCAACGAACAGCGGTTAAAACTTTATTTCAACCAAATTCCTTCTTTAGCTATTGATTTCAACAATCTTCTGACCCCAGAATTAATGAGTGCCGCCAGTTAACAGTTTAATTGACTAACCGGAAAATTTTCTTCTGGCTTTTCCCTTCTGACAGGGGAATAAGTGAACAGTAAAATGGTTCAAAGTTAGCAGTAGAGGAAAGAGCTGAAGTGAGAAGAATCTATAATGCGAAAAAACCAATGCTTTATTAAACCTCCAATAGCTGAAAAATCTTCCCTAGAACTATGATTTCATTTTTCAGGTCCTAAGATCTAAGTGTCAAACCTTCTCCCCGCCCCACCCCCAACTTATACACTGTTGAAAACATTTGACAGCACTTAGAAATTCCCATGATCACTTAGCATATGCTACAGTCCCAAATTAATTTGAAGTTGCATTTACATAAGAAAGAAAGGAGGAGGGGAGGGAAAGAGGGATGGTAAAGCCAAAACAACTAAATTTTTAACATATATTTTCTGTAAAGCTGGTTAAAAACAAAACACTATAGCTCAGGTAATTTTTAGGTGTAAGTGTAGGGTTGGAAATAATTAAAATGTTACCTTTGCCAAGTAATTCCCAATGTATCCTCACTGGTACTGGGGTATAAATGCCTGCCGTTTTGATTCATGGTCCAGTCACAAATCCTCAGCTGTCAATTGAAACCTAGCAGTCAGATATGGATCGAGCAGTACTACAGTTTTTAGTATTTAAATGAACACATGCAAACTAGTATTGTACATGGCATTAACCTTACTTTCCCAAGAGGCAACTTAAAGAAAAAAAAAAAAGCAAAAGAAAAACCTTACTCTGCAAAGCAAAACTTCCTAGACTCTTCTTTTTTTTAGAAAAAGCTACTGCAATATGCTTCTCTATTAATTAAAGCATACAAGAGAAATGAGGGCTTAGAACATCACAATTAGCCATTATTAGAGTACAAATTGAGCTGAAATAAAAGCAAACGTTAATATTCAATAGAGAGATATATTTTAGGAAGAAAATAAAAAAAGCTTTTTTTATGCAACATACCAAATCATCTGCACTGAGTAAAATAATCAATAACTTTAAGCATGCAGTTTGCAAAACACAGGAGACATGCAGTTTAGAGGAGTAAAGACCCCATCTCTACGTCCCCCCTAGCTTACGTTTAGAAGCATCAAGGCACTCTGTTTTAGATGTTTCCTAATTTTGTTTTAGCCAAAGAGGCACCGTTTAGGAAGAGTTGATAAGAATTTCTATTTTCTTTTTTAAACTCCGAGTAATGGTATTTAAAACACTTTACCCCATCTGAATAGAGCAAAGAATGCTCGGAGTACAAGCTGAAACAAATTCTTCCCAGATCTCAGAGTCCTCAGCTCTGCCCTTTGGAAGAGCGTTCGAGTAACCCTATCCAGCTCTGTTTGGCTCACAGCTGCCCTACAGTGCTAGCAGATTTATTGAAAAGATATATTGCTTATTTTTATGCTGAAGAAAGTAAACTTATCTGGCTCTGGGCGGGGGGACACCCCACTAGAAGATCATGGTTTTTAATTGTTAGATAGCCATGCTGTAAATGAACTGCATCTCACATTGTAAAGTTGACTTACAGCAATCCACTGAACCCTGTTTGCTGCTTTTCAGTGAGGATTTCTACAAGATGATGATTGCAGCCAAAGTGCCTTTAAACTGATGATAAATTATTGTAATCCTTTCTGATAATGTTATAGCTAAAAAAACATTGGCTATTAAGAACCTTTACCTTTCCTGTTAGACCAATGAGTTTCTACACATTCTAAGTAACAGTGATTCTGCGAGTTTTATAATAATCGTTTTGCACACTTTTCTACAGATCTATGAGTCTCCAAAAATACCACCTTAAAATTTCCAAAACACATGTTTTCATTATATTGATATTTTAGTTGAAAGTAATTTTATGAAGAACTGAAAAAATTCCCTTAAGGTAGGTCAGTAGATAGGTAAGTAGGTAGGTAGGCAGATAGACAGACAGATTGATAGATAGATTGATAGATGGCCAGATAAATAGATTGATAGATACATAGACTCGTCTCAGAATGTATTCATGAAGAAGCCACAAACCAGTAAAAAAATTAAATTGGAATGAAAAATATTCTTAAAATGGACCATCATACTTGCATGATGGAGAAAATGTATACTTGCTTAGTTTTAAAATCAAACAGATCACAAACTTTATGGCGAGATTTTTGTCAAGTTCTCCAAATGGATCATCTAATCAGTAATGCAATGTGATGGGGCAACCTGAACTTGTTTTTTTACAGCAACAGTAAGCCAGCTGTCTATTTCAAAATATGTTTTTTAAAAGCAGTACTATGAAAATAATCTAAAAACAGTTAAAAAAAAACGAGCTTGTGTAAAGATGACCTTAGGGACCACTTATTGATTCTGCTCTAGTCAGTGAAAATCCTAGTTTTCAGTCAATTAAATATTCTCAAGAATGGAGGTGTCTCTTCACACACAACTCCTGATAATTCTGCTAAATTCAGGTTAGTTTCTGGGGGGCTCTCAGCTTAGATTGGACTAGTGCTCAGAAAAAGATGCTTTCACAAAACCATGTGAACCTAAATATTACTCGCTGATGAAGTGACTTGTCTCACAAACAATTACAGGAACCCTATGTCTCCTTGAAAGGAAGCATTTGTAAACTGCTTAGTTTTTTGTTGTTCACATTGCTCATGTTACGTTTGTTTGTTTACCATCCTAAAATATGTCAGGTGGGCTACCTTTGGCCACATATGTAACATTTAAAATCAATGTATTTTTGAGCTTTTCTTTCCTAAGAGTAGTCCCAAAGGGGTTAAACCTGACTATAGCTATTCACTTTCATCCATACTTAAGATAAATTCAATAGGAATATTTTCTTTCAAACAGAAAATATGAAATACATACAAAATGATCACTGAATGTAGTAGTTAGCAGTAATCTAGATGCCAAAGAACTTAGCAGGATATTAATCTGTACTGAGTTAATTTCCTCTCCGTTACTGAAAATGAAAAATATAAATTACATTTACTTAGTTACCTAGATTGTGAGGTAGCATTTATGAACATTCCCAAAAATTTCTGAGGAGACAGGTTTATACATGCTTATTTGTTATAAATGACTTAAGCCAAGTCACTTAAGCAAGAGTCTCTTCAGGTTTTCTGGTCTTACTTTATTAATTAACCTTCTTTTGTGCAAAGCATCTTTGAATTAATAAACCTCCTAGTAAAGTGAAATTTTAAAGGTGATGGTGTGGTAGGGGAAACATATAATTAAAATAGAAATCACCTCTTCACTAAAGATTTCCATGACATTATTCCTAATAAGATCAATTACGAAGACTGACAAAGACAGTTCTGACTTAGCAAATTTTGAATAGATTCTAGGTGATAAAAGGTTAATACTAGGTGTATTAAAGCTTCCTTTTGGGGCATGTTAAATGTTCTTAGTATTAATATAAGTCAGTATCCCCAACAACGAAAACTTTTTACATTATGCTCTAAATAAATTTAAAACAATAGGTGACAATGTTATTTGAGGTTGGCATGATGGTTTCCCAGTTTCTGTCCTGTGAGGGAGTCAGTGTTACATACTTTAGCTCTTGAGTCTTTTTAAATTAAATTTTAAAACTTTAACTTTAAGTGGTACCTAAGCTTCAATAACACTGTAATGGCTTTTCCAAGTATTTTCCCTCAAAAATTAGGAAATTACTTGCTTTCTCCAATGTAATCAAACTTAAAACACTAGGTACTGATTAGTTTAGAAATTTAGTCTATTAAAGTTGTCTGTTAGTTTGGAGATGGATAGCAATTCTTATTTTTGTAACAATATAGAGTCTTCGACAGACCTGAGCATATGCATATCCTTATAGAAATGCACACTCACATAAATAATTTTAATTCTTTAATTTATATGCATCTATCAATATGAAATTAGACTATCTAGAAAATTAAGGTAAAATTTATATTAAAACAATTATACCCAGAATTCCAAAAGCAAGCAGAAGGTGAGGTAAAGAAGTAAGATTCTCCTCCAGAAAAGCTATGAGTAAAGGGTTAAGGTGGAAATAGTCCAAACTAAGAAAGAAGTGAAGGTTAAGTTTTCACTGCATATGTTCTTAGGATGGAGTTCTATGAAGTCTCTGGAATAAGAACATTGTTCCTTGCCTACAAGGATGGGTCCAACCAGTTTCCCTCAAAAATCTACATAGGAAAAAAAAATCTACATAAGGGAAAACACCTAAGATTTGAATCATTAGCCTTTCCTACACTACACTCACATAGTCATGTAGGTAGCTGACAGCCATAAAGAATCAATATTGCTTGTGATTTCAGAGTTAAGATTTTGTTTATTCAAATGAGGGCCCTCCATTGTTATTACCAGGGGCTTTTGTTAAATGCTTAGCAATTAGCTTTGGGAACAAAGGAAAGAAGGTAAGCAAAATGTTCTATTTTGCTAGACTCAGCAAACAGGCCGATGAACTAACAGTCCCTCATGATGACAACAGCTCTCAGTTGAACCAATAAACCATTAAACTGTAAACAGAATAATCAACACAGGCAAATTTACCTTCTCACTTTTTTTTTTTTAAGTTTACAGGGACCCTCAGGGGAATAGCTTGAAAGGTACATTTTTATGTTCTCAGGTTTTTTTCATTTCTCCAGATAGCCTCAAGGAAACAGATTTTTGAGGGGTAGAGGAGCTTTTGAGGGGATGCTTAAAAAGATTAACACTCCAATATCCAAACTCCCCTCTAACTCTTAGATTAGTAGAATTTTATTTTATTGCTATTATTAATTACTCACCATGGAGCAAATAAAATGGCCTCTGAATGAATAGGGTGTAGCCTTACTGAACAAGCAAAATGTTCAGAATGAAACTGTTATATGTAAGACATATAAAACATTAAAAAAAAAGATATTCAAGATCATCCTGGTACCTTAAATTCTAATGTCAGTTTCTGAAACCCATGCTTCTTGATATTTAATTGAATCAGTACAGTAGAATTACTTTAAATGGGTATGCAAGCCCATGAACAAAGTGAACATAACTGATCATGAATCATAAGTATCAGAAAATGAAAGGTTTTTTTAGATGGAGACTACTTTAACTTGTAAAATTTAAGGTTTCATGGGAACTCAGAGATTGTGTAATTCCACCTCTACATTTTCCTTTCCAAGATAAGGATACAGGACAGCAAAGTTTATGGACTTGTCCAAGGTCAGACATGCCCTGTTTGTGTCAACATTAAAACCACACTTGCAAACTCCTAATCCCTGGTTCTCACCCAAGACACTAGTTTGCCTATCACTGTTCTTGTCCTACTCTGTCCTTCATGTGCAGCCCAAGAATATTTAAAGCTAAAATGGCTATAATTATAAGCTTCAGAATTTCCTCTACTTACCTGATTCAACTTAGATTTTTTAAAGTAAGTATTTTTTTCAGGGAAGAAGATAATTTTTCCCTTGTGATTTTGTTGATTGAATTTAAGGTTACAGCAAACATAACTTTATTTTTACATTAATTAGAATGGTCTATCTGGACATTAGCATTTGATAACTACTCAAAGTAAGTTAATAAATAAATGAATGATCAAACAGACCATGGAAGGTTTTTTTAAAACTTAAGAACTAGCCAAAAAGCTAAACATTTGCATAGCCGTTATTTTGACTGAAACTTCCTTTAAATGTGTTTCCTCTCCAGCTAGCATATGTGAAGAGTGACCTCTTATCCATTTACATACCTACCCAGAAGTCATGTGATAGGGTTTTACGTCAAGCTGTCAATTATGATAACAGACACAATAAGAACAGCCCAAGTGTTGATAGCCTGCTTCCTGACTTTATTGAAAAGTTTGTTGATAGTCCACTTGTGTCCTTTCAATTGCTTGCCTCTAATAAAAGACTACCTTTCCAGTGGTCTCAATATACCTAGCTTTGGCTTTGCCATTTGCCAGGACAAACAACATAAAGAAATTTCAATTAATATCTTAATTAAAAAAAAAAAATCCTACAGAGGCAATGTCTTATTAGGAAGGCCATCTGGTGTAACAGAAATGTCCAGTGTAATGAAAAGTACCTCCAAATTTGAGTTTCAAAACTGTATCAAGGAAAGTGTTGAAAATATTTTGATATAAGGTGGCCCAGTAATTGAAACTGAAATAATAGCATTAAGTAGTCATGCAAGAGATGTAACATGCTGAAGCTCAAGCACCAATAAAATCCATGCAATCGTGTACATAATGCAAGGACCTGAGTTGATCAGGCCATGCATTCATTAGATCTAATAAGTGCTATACACAGTCAGGAGATTATAATTTTGAGAGATGAAGAAAACAAGCCTTACATCTTACAAACTAGAGCTTACTTGACTTTGTTGTCTCCCTTTGGAAAGGCAAAAGGGACCTCCCATTTATTTTAGCAAAATCTCAAATCTATATCAAAAGTTAATATGCTTTTCAATAGCTGGTTCAAATAGCAATCTTTTATTTCCAAACAAGAAGCTTCTTAGCTACAAACTTTTATTTCCAACTTGCAGTAAGATTTTTTTTATATGTTGTACTGATGTATAATAGTTAAAGATTTATGTTTTTATTATAACCTTCCACTCAAATAGAAGGGTGAAAAGTTAATGAGGCCTTCTTTGATCCCACAACTTGCAATGAGAGCAAAGAAAGAAGTCCTGAGATTTAACAAATTCATTATGAGGTTGACCAGATAAGGAACTGGTGTTAATTCAAGTAAGTTGTCTCATATTCACCATTTATGCTAAAATCAGTAGACTGGATTATAGAATAATTTCTGTATTTTATGAGCAAAGTCCAACACTCTGCTATAGAGTTCCCATTTTGTCAAAGAGACAAAACTTGGGACATATACTTCCCTCCTTGCCTATCATGGTGAATGTGCGCCGTGCACTCCGTGCAGTGTGAGGAAAGGTAAACACTGCATTCTGCTAAACTTCTGTGAAGTGAGGTCAGAGAGGAGGTCCTTGACACTTGTGAAAAAGTTCCGAATCATAAAAAAGACATTTCTCAGGAGAGACTACAGAGTTCAGTTTGCCAAAGCAGGACCCAGGAGTTCTTTAAGCCACCACACCATCTTCCAACAGAAAAGTTAAAGAAGAATATGGAGCTCCAATTGATGTCTGCTTTCAAGATCTCCCCAAGCCCATAGTGAGCGCATGAACTAAGTCAATCATCTCACAGACAGTCTAGTTCCAGACCTTGAACCACACAACACACAAGACTGTGTTAGGGGACAAAGGAAAAATTTCAAGTCCTGATCAGCTGGCATGAGCTGATTATTATGACCAATTGGAGAGGATTGTTTTTAATGGCAAATTATCAACTGGTTTCCATGAATCTTTTTGAATTACTCTTCATGATTATGGATTTTTTATTTTTTAGATTCAAATGAGATATCAGTATTTGCAGGGACAGGTGACATTCCTGTGTCAGAAAAAAACTAGTTATTTCAAGTCAGTTAGCGACCAATAATAATCAGTAATAACCATTATCAAGGAGCACAGAAATGTATAATTACTAATAACAGCTGTATGTGTACCAAGCTGATGGGCATAAAAGCATATACTTTTAGGAGTCAAATTTGCCAATATGGACATATTACTCTTACAAGTGGAGTATAGGGTTAATTTTAACATTGGCCATCTCAATCGAAGAAGGCCAGTGTCCCTGTGTGTTAGAAACGACTATATTGAAGGGTCTGCTTTATTTTCATCTTGTGGAAAGATTATTTATAAGATAGTCAGAATTATTCAACAATTTTAAATTTATCGTTAACCCTAATTTATGTAGGCTATATTAAAGTTCTTTTCTGAGAAAAAAATAGCACAGCACAATGCACATCAATACTTTTCATAACCTTAAAGGATAAATCTTTATAAAGCAGCCGCCAATAAACTGAAGAATGTACCTGGTGACAATATTTATTCTTAAGGGGTCATGTATATTAAAGGCTATGGGGAATGTTTAAAAGAACTCTCTCAGACTAAATCCATTGCCTTTCTAATTTTGAATTTCTCCTAGCTAATATAAAATGATTGATTACCTTTATTTCATGTACCCCTTGATTTTCCTTTTCATTCATCACTGAGTGCTTTAAACCAAATGCATTTAGAACCTGCTGTTACAAGAGTGGTCTCTTTTAAATCTTTGTAAAGTAATGAAAGGACACAGTAAATCAATCTCATTTCTGCTGTGCGAAAGCATAACCTTTACTCTACTTAAGTCACTTAAACTATTTCTGTCCCTCTGTTCCTGGATAGTAAGCCTGAAACTTCAGCTCAGTGGTTCTTTTAAAATTTAAAAGCATAAAAGTAATAATGTTTTAACTGGAACCTTGCTTCAGTAATATTCATGTATAGTATGAGATGCATGTACACGCATTTTCTGCATGCCTCAAAATTGCAGCTCATTATAAATCTGGCATATTGAGCTTCTTCATTTCAAAAACTAGCACTAAGTCTTCCATTATATACAGGGCAAGTTATCCATTTGCCTGGTAAATACCAATCCTCAATAGAATTGAACATTACATGTTAGGCTCTGAAGCTTCTATAGCTTTTTTCTTCCAAGGATCAAGACACATTGTGCGTTCCATAAATATCAACCGCATTTGACCAAACAAATATTATTTATATTGTAAGGGGTCTTCACTTGACATTGCCCACTTAAATAAGAAGTGGTGGTCTTTGATGAGAAAAGTTTATAGTTCCAGAACTCATATATATATATATATATATATCTCAATTAAAGTATGCTCAGAACTCCATCTACCTTAAGACTCACGCTTTCCTGATGCTTGCTAAGTTTTCTTGATTTATCTTTGGGATATGTGAAAAAAGAAGTAAATTCTGCATGATGAAATTTTATGATCATAATTTCCTGAGCCTCTAACATTACTCATAAGTGATAAATATAAAAAAAAATATTAAACCTGCCATAGGTTAGCACAGGGGGATGGGAAGACTGCTTCTAAATACATGGAACTGGGTATAATCTAAATGTGTTTGGGGCTAAAGGTTTAAATAATGGAGGCATGTGTCTGTGAATTAAAAAATTAACTACAAAGTAGAGATGTGTCATAAAGAATAATGCAAATCCCATGGTAAAAATATTTCTGAAAATATGTGGAATGATTTTTAAAAGAACAAGTCTCTAAACCTATAAATCCTACATATGTTTTTAGAAAACACAGTGAACATATACATTTGTCAAATAGAACCATATTATAGTAATTATAACACATTTCACATTATAGCAATTTTAGAGGTGAAAAAAAGCAACATTCCAGAGAATTATGTTGAAAAGCCAATGGCGGGCAAAACCGCTAATTATTATTTGGTATTTCTGTAACTGTGTACAGATGTTTTCAGTTAGTTCTCACTCTTTTTGTTTTGTTTTGCTTTTTAAAAATCTGGCACAATGTCAAATATCTTGAATAAGCTATCATCTTTATGATTCTTCTCTGAACTCTGCATGTGGTGACCTTTGATCTACGCCGTCTGCTACCTTGGTCCGCAACTGGGCAGGACTTGGGAATCTTGCGGGAGGCACAGAGAGAGATACAACACGAGCTAGGCGGGCAAGTCCAGAACAAAAGAAGCAGGCATGAGTCCCTGCGCGGGCTGACCACATACGTAAAAACACAGATGCAATACACGCTCATTCAACTTTCGAACGAACAGCCAGTTAGTTTATACCAGCTTTTTCTTATTCATGATAGCCTATTTTTCCTTATTTAATATTTTGCACACTGTTAATTTCAAGCCGCTCTGCTATCAGAACTTGAGAGCAGCAAACATATGCATCATAAAAACATATTTAAATTCTGAAGTGTTTGGAATTATTTCTGTCATCCTATAACTAGAATCGTGGGATTTCTGTATTGGTATGTTCCATGCTTTTGACTGTGGCTAATTTGTTTATAAGCCACCATTAATCCTGGCTGTATATTTTCACAGTTTGGGTAAACACTTCATTTGCATTAAATTTACAGCATTAATGAGATGTGAAATTTAAAATGCTACTTGAAACATAAATGATGTAAAAAAGCAGAACAAAAAAAAGTGTTTTATCACATCTGAAATCAGTAAACCAATTTAAACCTATTAAAACAGGAATGATGTGTCGCCCGAGATTTTAGCTTCATAACTCATCCTCTTGGACTAAAGGTCCAAAATGAGGAGTAAAACATCTGGAAAATACGAAAGAGCTCAAAAACACAAATTGTGTACTGCTTCTACTCTAATGGGCTTTTCAATCAGTTTTCAATTTTTTTGTCTTCGGAAGCTAAAGGCTAGTAAGTTCTCAATAGCCAATAAGACTGAGAAAAATACCCTGGCCAAGACCCTGTTACTCATGGACGTTATGGATGGAGGCCACAGAGATGGAAAAGGTCTTGAGCCAATTTGAGAAACCCTGTTTAGAGAGGCAAGAAACAAAGGATAAATGAGAAAATATTCTGGAAAACGAAATGATCAGTTTCTTTCCCAGAAGCCCCGGGAGCCCCATTCTGAGTCCAGATCTGAGAGGCAGCATGGAGAGAGCACCAATGCGGAAAGCGTGCTACACCATCACACCTGGGTGAAACGTGCCCACCTGTTGCTGATGTAGGAAGGATGGGTCTCTTGGGCTTAGTCCCACATATCGATTGGCTTGAGATGTGCCTGAGGCTGTGTAGGCTGATTAAGGAAGAACAAAAACAAAGATAAAAATTGTGAACTATCAGAATGAACACCCTGTCCATGTAAAAGAAAACCCAGGACGTGGGATTTGCAACCGAAAAAAAAAGTGTCTCTATTTCTCTGTTCTTTTGTTTGAGTGAACACCAAGTGATATAAAAGAAATGGCGGTTGACCTCAACTCAACTCCTTTATCCCCCTCCCCAGAAATCTGTCCAATCAACCACATGCCGGCCTCTGGTGTGGACATCTCACACTTACGTGCTCCAGTTATAGTCCTGGCAGGAGAACCAAGGACTGGCTAAGTAGAAAGGTTTTTCCTACTTGTCCTGTTTCACCAGATATTAGTTGTCTAATAATGGGATAATCAATGATGGTCTGTGATTCTAAATGTAAGACTGAAAGTCTATTGGGAAAAAGCTTGTAATGAGTGGGATTTAAGCAGATATGCTTGATGATACAGAAAAAAACATGTCTTACTAAAGAGAAAATCTAATATTTCTAACATGAGGGAGAAGCCTATATTTATGATATCCTATAGAGTGACTTAGGTCAGTATTCTATTTAGTGTGAAAATGACCTTAAGTTTGATAGAAATGTTTTTGAAAAAAATTCTTTATTTTCCATAAGCACAAAAAGTCAATTTCTTGTGACTGGTCCAGGGAGGGGGACGGTGGCCCCTTTGAAATACTTGGCCACCAGGCACTAAGTACCTATGGTGAATATTCCTTAAGTTATTTACTCTCAACTTGTAAGTACTTTTTGTAGAGGTGCTTTTTGGTGCACAGTGAATTTTCCAAAGAAAACATCTCCCTATTCCTAAAGATTTCTGTTTGTTTTCACAAGGAAAGGAGTTCCCAGCACTAAAGCAATCCCATTGCTCCCTGCCGGAAAAAAGAGAACTACATTTTCACCATTCTTGTTACATCTACGGGTCTGAAGGAAGTTAAAATATTTGGTTTAACGCTATCAGATTAATAAGAAATCCAGACATTAATCTTTAAAAGTTTTTTTTTTTTAACCAAATATATTAATTCTGCCATGTTCATTTGAAGGGTTGCAGAATTAGATCCATTGAGGCTTTTTTAGGTCAACTTTTTAAAACAGTGAAGATGCTCACAATTCAGCATTAATTACTCCTGAATAAAGGGGGCCCATCCAAGGACAGCCAGAAGGGCGGAGACCCTACTCAATCTCCAGGCCCCTGGAATTCAATGTACAGCATGGACAGCTGGAGAAAAGCCTCACCCTTATAGAGTGGCAACAAGTCTGTGGTATTTTCTCTTTTCAGCCATGAGAAAGAGGTTTCCCTGGTCTATGTGGTTTCTTTAATTTTATTGACTTATCAGCTCAAAGGCCAATTTTTCATTATCAGTGCTGGATCGGGAGCTAAAGCTCCAAGTTTGTGTATAGGGAAGAAAACAACTCACTGTATTTCTTTTATGCAGGAGTGGAAAATGGGCTGATACAGCCGTCTTTATACAAACCAAGATATTCCTTCTGAGTATTTTGTAATTTTATTAGTCAAATCAGATCCCTTTTTGACCATCCTCTAGGTGAGTATAAGAACAATGCATTAGCAAGCAGGCTGACAACAGCTGTGATCATTTGGGTCTGATCCTCCCTTGAATGTCATCTATTAATGTCACTAGAAGAGTAGGTACCTGAAGTTTCTAGAACTTGGTTTGAATCATTTATCATGTGATGGTCTTTCAAAAACTTAAAAAAAAAAATCTTTGTTTTCTATTTGCCTTTATTTAAATTGCTGACTTTGCTAAAAGAAGCCAACACATCCACTTTCACAAGTATTTTAGCAGCCGTAGTGTATATAGCTAACCTTTAGAACAAAAGAATTTTTAATCTTCCTTGACTGGGTTTCATCCATCTGTGCATTCAGGGAAGTGCTCACTGGACCCTCTACCAACAGACCAATTACAAAAATTAATGATTATTGATGGGAATTATAAGCCTACATGGACTGATTAGGCTATGGGGCCTCATGAATTTTGAGAAAGAAATGCTCAATTCACTGTACCCTCAAAGTATTGTCCTTTTTTCTTGTAGTGTTCCTTCCTAGGTTTTCAGAAGTCACCAAAAAAGAAAAAGGAAAAAAAAAAAAGGAAAACATCTTTCCAAAGCCTGAGAAAGAAAGAGCCAGTGGTGTCTCTGTACGTTCACCTACAAATTTCCAGAGCAACTCAATTTTTTTTTTGCTCTTGGAAAGAAAATGGAACCTCTGAATTTCAGATATAGAAGGCATAATTGATGAGGAGCCTGCTAATTACTCCTGCCTGGAACTTTATCAATTCCACTATACTAGTTCTAGGGAACCGGTAGTTTGGTTGAAGCCAATTAAAAAACTGTGTAATAATTTTTTGTGTATTGATGAGTATTCTGTATGAAGAAGCAAAGGAATCATTGGTTTATCGGTATGTTCTCTGTTAAGTTCACTGGCTAAATCTCTGACATTTAAAATGTTATAGCCATGTTAAAAAGCGTAGTACCTAATGTATCATGATAAGCAAAAAAAAAAAAAAAAAGAAAAAAAAAGTCACAGACAATGAAAGTGTAGGTAGCAGCTTACATGTACCTCATACTCAGCTTCGAAATGTTCTCATTCACACCCAACATCGTGTAACTGTTTTTTTGCAATGACATAACCTACGGTAATATAAACGTGCAATTATCTTTCAGAGGCACTGATTCAGTCTGCCTTGTGAAGGGCACTGATTTCTATAGGAATGCTCCAATAAGTAACAATTATCTGATCTCTCTCTGGGTGACAGAGAAACCTTGCACACTGCATTATGTTATTCAGTGTCTTTTCAATGTATACCTTGAACAAGCAGGCATGACTTATCATTTTTGGTAGAGCTGTTTATTCAAACAAATACGCTTCTCCCTTTTCAAATATGATGTACGGACTGAAATTTGATAAGAGAGAGCTTGTGATAGCCAGGCCACATACATGCCTGCTAGTTCCACATAAATGAGAAATCTCCATCGGGTCTGAAAAGTTGCCGTGTTCTCCACCTTGGATCAGGTATCCAATGGTGCCTTTGATGGACATTTCTCATTTCCTACAGAAATACTTACTGGTTGCTGTAGGTGAAGCTGCCTCACCTTCAGTGGATGTAGTGATGGGTTTAGTATCTGTCATGGTCAGGGTCACAGGTCGCATTGCACTGGGATGGGGAGAGGGTGCCAAGACAGGTGTGAAATGGCCAGGCACTTTCCCTACCACTTGACCACTGCTGTTAGGCTACAAAACAAAAACAGAATGCCGGGTGAAACAATCCAAAAGGCAGTCGTCTCGTCCAACAACTCCACTCCGCACACTTGGCCGCGTGAACCCTGCGGACTTGCTGGGGACGCCACAAGCCCTCTCAAGCCTGAGTCACAGAGACCAACTAGCGGTTAGTAGTAAAAAGAAGAAGCAGCGTTTCAAAGAAAGTCTTCACCTTCAAAACACTTTACATCGGTAATTTCATCTTTACAACACCCCTGAGAGCCAGGTAGACTGATCCTTTCATTCAGTAGCACAGAAGACTCGAGTGGAGACTTACATGCTGAGCCCAAGGCAACAATATAAGTCCTCCCTGAGTTAGTAAGAATTTGAGCCACGCCTTCTTCTCTGCTCTTCGTTTTCTGTAGTGAGTCTGTTTGGGCTTTCAGAACACAATTCTCACCTAATGATGCTATCACTGACACAAAGAAGACGAGGGTAATCTAGGAGCTCAAACACATCAAACTTAATAGTTTCCATCATTTATAGTCAAGGCCCATCTTCTGTGTTCAAAACCTCTTAGCTCTCCGTCACACACAGGGACGCTCGGACACACACATCCAGCCATTTAGAATCTAGGATCTCTGCTTCACTTTTGGTGATTTACTCATACGAGCAGATAGAATGATATTTAAAGCATTTAAAATTTCAGGTCCACACCATGATATACAATGATGGACTAGGCCTGACTTTACAGCTACAAATAAAAGATTTCTAAAGTCAATTAAAATGTGCTGAAGCAGGGGTGCCTGGGGGACTCAGTCATTAAGTGTCTGCCCCTGGCTCAGGTCATGATTGTGGGGTCCTGGGATGGAGCCCCGCATCACATCGGGCTCCCTGATCAGTGGGGAGCCTGCTTCTCCCTCTCCCACTCCCCGTGCTTGTGTTCCCTCTCTCACTGGGTCTTTCTCTGTCAAATAAATAAATAAAATCTTTTAAAAAGAAAATGTGCTCAAGTAAAGCAGAGGGCAATCAAATATACTTTGTTACTTAAGTTACTCCTCCATGGCTGGGCATGGGGAGCTACACAAAACATTATTGTTGACATTTGTGGGAATCAACTGAGAAAATCCCCAGGGCAATGATAGAAAAGATATTAATATCTGAGTTTTAGCCCCGGGTATGAAAATAGTATCTGTGGTAGGAGAAAAAATCCTAAGGGTACACTGCTTAAAAAAAAAAACAAAAAACTGGAATGTATTTTTCTAGACAGAGAACGTTATTCTTGATTACACTCATGTTGGAATTCTCCACTGTATGGTGTACATAACAATTTGCCATGAGAATATTCTCCACAAATATTTAGTCTTTATAATCAGCACTGTTAAAGGCAAAGAATGCAATGAAGCAGAATATTTATCTAAATACCTGCACATAAATTACCAGGAGACATTTCTTTAGACAAAAAGATGAACAGCTAATAACACTTAAATACTGTAACTCACAGACATGAACTAAGTCTTTGGTTGGGTTCCTCAGAGGCCACGTTATTTATTCTATAAAGAAAATGGACTTCTTGAATATCCTGCCTATTCATCATGAGTAATTTTAAGTATTTAACTTTATGTCAGGAAAATTGACCAGAGTTTCCCCCTACGGAAACCTATGAGAGAGTTATATCTTTTGACTAATTTTATTTAAAATAATCCACTGAATAGCATGACTGTCTCAGTCTAATCGGTGCACCAGCAATGCAATTAATCTCCAAATTGCTGTGGGGAGGATGAGGCATCTCAGTTGCTAGACTTAGCAATCAAAATCAGTGCAGGGCTGGAGGAAATTTGGGAAGGGATAGTGAACCACAGGTGAACAAGCCCTCATTTTTCCCATTTTTAGAGCTAAACAGGTAAGTGTCAAGAGTCCTCTTTTGAAATGCTAATTAATTGGTTTTGAGTTGGAGCTAAAAATCAAAGGAGCTATGATGTGCCCATAAAAACAGTTCTGCAATTTACTAGAAAGACGCATTTTCTTTCAAGTGGAAAAAGTAGTTTTTTTCTAAAGCAGACGATCAGCTTCTGGTTATCTGAACATTGCAAAAGACTGTTTCATGTATCTTCCTCAAGAAAGAAGAGCGACCTCGTTTTATCATTGGTGGTACATTCGGTAGTAAAAAGCATTTCTGTATAGTGTGTTCACCAAAACAGTTGGATAGGACCTACCTGAGAACACGGGACAGAAGAATGACAATAATGTCAAGAAAATGCTGCCACAGAATCTGATATTACCTCGCCCATTCTGCAAGTTTTGTCTACTGGAATGGAATCGACATGAACCAACAGACATTTCTCTCATTTAAAAAGAATAAAACTGACAAAGAAGCAAGTCGGTCCCAAGCCGATACAGACAACTTTTCTGGAATTCAGGGTCTGGAAGAATGAGAGGGTTATTCCTTTTGGGTTTTTTACTGGTTCAAACAGATGAAGCTATACTCTAAGGCTTCTCTTTTAAGGTTGTTAGATGAACTTTCACACCACAGATATGAAAAGGGAGACATCTTATCTGAAGATGAAGTTGAACGGCATTTGGAAAGGATTACCCTGCTAGCACGTTGCTCCTATTATACAAAATCCTGAGAGGGGATTTTTTTTTTTTTTAATTGAGATGAAAGTAAGATGCTTCTCTCAGAAGCTGGATCTTTACCTTAAAAATAGGAAGAAAAGCAGAACAATATAGGCAGATTATCACCTAATATGCCCTCTTAACTTATAAAGAAATGGAAATATACCTAAAACAAGCACTGAATAATTAAAGAAATGCGTAACACTAAGGGCCTGATTTTAATTTGCATAATTTTTCCCCTAACAGTGTCTAATTAAGACATCAGTTAAAAAAAAAAAAATCCAATGGAACTCTAAGATTTTCCACACTGAATTAACGTTAAGGACTTTTAATGGATGTCTTAATTAGACTTTGTTATTCATGGAAATTCTACACAAATTAAAATCAGACCTTGTGCGCACTGTTCCCAGCTGAGTCTAGCAAAATGCTCTATGGAACTGAGACTCTTGAATCCACGATCTGACAGCAAATTTTATTTCTAAACTGATATATTAAGATCCCACTGTTTTACTTAGTAATTCTTAGTATAGTCATCAAAAGTGCTATACCATTTGGACATTTTCTTCTAAAATACAAATGGTTTAACTACAAAGTCACAACTCAAGAATGGTGTATTTAGTTTAGTATTATTAGTCGATAGAACTAAAAGTACAGGTAACTTTTTAAGTAACCCAAATGGTGCTGGCTATGTTGTTATTCAAAATAAAACGTTCAAAAAAGACCATTTTGCTTCATTTTAACAATTACGACCAAAAATGATTTTTTCAGATCTTTTCTATGTTAATTCTAAATTAATAAGCACATACTATTCACTGGCATTTTAGTAAATGAACAGCATTGATGACAGAATGCTTATGACAATCTCTCAGAGCATTAAAAGATATAATGAGTGGGCAGGAATCTTGAAAGTAAAGCAGCAATGCCAAATACCAGACCTAAAGATCAAAACTACATTACAGATTTTGGATATTACAATTTGTACCAGCTTTGGCACAAAGCCTATCTATTTGATCATGAAAAATCGTCCTGTATCAAATCACTATGAAGTGACCTCTCTAAAAGAAGAAGCCACACGTTTAAGGAGTGAGAAACGCACATGGGTCACTACACTTATACAATAAAAGTCCCTAAAACCACTGCACAATGTTTAAAAAAGAGAGAGAGAGAGAGAGAGAAAGAAAGAAAGAAAGAAAAAAGAAAAGACACTTCTGGTAATAGCACTCATTATTAAATGTAGTCATGTCTGTGCAAAGAATATTCCAGTAGTCATCAAACACTGACAATGTTTACATTACCAAAGCTTATTTTAATACCTAATAGTTGGTCTATAAATACAACTGTAAGTTCTTTTGTGTGTGTTTATTTTAGCGCATACCTTGCTCCTGCCTGAAATAAGCACTTTGTCTCTGCGTTAAACCAGGTATTTCAGAGGTGTGAACTCCAGCTCTGAGCTTTTTTGTCAATGTACTTTCTGCATAAACTTTCTTTTCAGTCAATGAAAATTCAAAAACATCAAACCAGAAACATCTTCACAAATGTGCCCCTTTGGGGCAAGACACTTCCTACCTGTCATTCAGCCACCTTTATATAAAAACTTATTGAGTCACCAAGAAACTTCCTGAAGATGGATTTCAAAAGCTTGATGTTCTGCCAGACATACCGTCTGAATAAGCTTCACGTCTTAGAGTCAGACCTGTGCCATCTCCCTTAGGCTCTAATCTTATTTGCTCTCTCATTTTTACCTGGCTGGTTTGCGGACTGGATGGGTCATAAGAAGGTACATAGTTCTTCAGAGTATCCTGAGGATTCAGGTGGGGAGGATATCTGATTGTTGGATGAGAAAAGTAGCTCGATGGGGCTGGAGGAAGAATAGCTTGTGTTGGAAATGGCAGCGGTGAGGGTGGAGGCGGAGTTCGAGTCGAGATGACTGCACAGGACAGAAAAGGGGAGACTGACGTCAGCTATGGTGCCCGCTGCCCCGGCCGCCCCCCAGAGCCCTGCGAGGCCGCCACGCTGACGGCTCCTCACCACTTCCCCATGACCGACCCACACTCCCCTGCGGGACTCCCTCGTCCATGCCGGCAGGGAGAACACGCAGACCCAACCCCACTCTGAGGAACTAGCGATCTGGCTCTCCAGCTCTATGAATGCTTAGACAAAGGAAGTTTCTCTTTTATAGGTTAAGCCAATATTTCATAAAACGTTCCGTTAAGCAGAGTTATTTCCCATCAGAATACAATCTTTGATCAGAAAGTCTTTGTGTCTTGAGTCCAGACCAACTCACAGCATCCATTAAAAGGCAGGGGCACCCACAGACTCTCTACCCAAATTCAAAACAGAAATGTACTCCAATTTTAAATAAACATTTTCCCTGTACGTCCTAGCGGGTGGTTGGTTAAAAGAGAAGCCAGTAATTAGGAAACAATAATGTGCTGAATAATTACCTGATCGTTGGACAAATGCTTATGAACATGTGAACATAGGGCCTGGGAACTCTTTTTTCCTAATGAAAATGTTCCTTTCAAAACCAAAAGAGCTCTATTCTGTAACTATTTTTCTTCCTACTCTAACTTTTATTACATGTAGCTTAAAAGATGTTATTAAGATAAGACCAAGAATAAAACCCACAGAAATGTGAATTTAAACTTTCATACAGGCATATTAACTAACCAATAAATCACATATTTTATAAAGGGAAATAATATATAAAACATATGCGATGTAGACGATGTTTAATTGTGCTGTAATTTTTCAACATCAGTATGACTAAAATTTATTGTTTAGTTTTTGAAATATAATCCTTAAGTTTCAAAAATGGGAAAGAATATAACTGCACAATCATTATCTCTATAAGGTTGAGGAATTTGACCACATAAGTACAATTAAGAGTACCAACGAGTATATGTAGAAATGAAGATTAAATGTCTGTTTCTATTTAATATTTTGATCCAAATCATAGGAAATTACATATGATAAATGTTTAGTGATTTATGAGACAACTTAGCAAACAATAAGAAAAATAAGTTCTTTCCATGACCTATTAATGAAAATCATCTGGACTAACTTATCTCCAACTTTGTAATTATGTGCAAAATATATATATATATACTTTTAAAGGGATATTACTTATCTTCCCCAAAGAAAGCTTTTTTCAGAAAATACGAGAAATTAAGAATGTATCTCAGGGAAGAATCATAAATTCCATTTTACGGTCACAACTTTGTTTCCTGAATGTCCGGGTCACTCGGGATCCTCTGGATCGTTGTTACAATGCAGATTCCTGGGCCTAAACACAGACTACTGGGTCTTGACTCCCCCCAGGGGTAAGGCACCAGAAAGTACAGTTTAAACAAGTGCCTCGCGTGATCTTTCCACACACTGAAGTGTGTGCCTCCTCCGTCAAAGGGATGCATTTCAGAGAACAATTACATATTTCTTCAAACGAAACTCCTTTTTGACATACGACTTTGTTGAAGAAATATACACATTTGAGAAAGTATAATTTAAGGAGATGCAAACACCTAAGTTAAGTCTGGCATCTTTTTAACTTGGTGTTGAAGTGCTCTTAATCTCAGCTAAATGAAGACCATGTAACCATGGTCTTTGCCTGCATCTGTACACAAACCCTTGAAGAATATATACGCCGCTCCATCTTGGTCCCCCTGGGCTTGAGATCAGTGTGGCCCCGGTGGTTTTGGAAGAGATCTTTGTTCAGTGGAACCGGCACATATCAAATCAGGGCTCAGGCTCTGGGCTCCCTTGTACTATGCTCACAGAAGCTGTGGCTGGCCCAAGAGAAGCTAGTAGAATGTAGTATTTCAAACTGAAAGTAAAAATGGCTATTTCGTCTCAATAAAGGTCATTCTAGTCCTTGAAAACAGGAAAAGCAAAATACAGGCAGAAGACATTTCCCTTCATTATGAAAGAATTCACACATGCATACATGTACGTACATGTATTTCCTGCCTATATTAATGCCAAGCCTTCCTCTCCTTTCCTCCAGTCTTATACAGCCTTTATAGTCTCATATGAATGAATTTTGTAAAATGCCATCTCAGGCAAGTCACTTCTCTGCTAAAAATCTTTCAATGGCTCCCTACTGCTTCCAGAAGAAAAGCCCAGCAACTTCAGAGGTTTGTACGGTCTTCAAGAGCTGTAGGGAACCCGCCCTGCCTCACTTCATGGACTCATGTCTGGCCGCTCTCTCTTCCCAGGCCACACGGAGATATTTGTGGATCCTTGGATAGATGGCAGTTCCTTGCTGCAGTAACCTTTCCTGATAACAGGCCGTTCGCTCCGTCTGAAACAACCTTCCTCCTGCCTTGTTCTTCCTTCTTGCGGCGAACTCACTCTCTAAACTTCAGGGAAGAACACATCTCTTTTGGGCATCTAATCCTTTTCAAAGTGTCTAGTCCTGTTCAGATTTCATGCCTAGCTGATGTGGTCTCCTTGTCTCCCTGCCGGACCGTGAGCTCTTTAAGGACAGAAACTGTGTCTCATGACCAAGGTGCCTACCACAGGCCCTAATACATTACATATTGAGTAAGTATCTGGTGAAGGACCAAGGTGGAAGGCTTATCTAGGTTTCCATGGTTCATTATATAAAAGTGTACTATTTAATTTTTTCCCAATGTCAGAAATCTGAATATTTTAATCAGGTGTCATAATACATGGACGATTTGACTGCTAAGTGAATTTTGCTCAAATATTCAACATTACAGATCCGTGAAATAGTTACCGACTTTTTTGACCTATTCTAGCAGTACAAACAATACAAATATAAATATTTTATACCACATTTGATTTGTATATTCCGTTCTTAATTTTATAATTTTCTTAGTGAAGGCCATGCATTTTTAAAGTATAGCAATGATATGTATCAACATACACTTAGAGATCAAAGCTAAAGACTTTTTTTATAACTAAAGTTATATCCTTTGAGTAAAGGTTTAAAAACCAGATTCATTTTGTCGGAAGAATAAAAAATTGCCTATCTCTAAATTTAAAGTAGTAAGAGTATTGCTACAAACGTATTTATATACAAAACTTTCTCCACCAAAAATTCAATACACTCCTTTCTAGGGCTCAAGAATAATAGGTAGAAAGTATACAGTATTGTTTATTAATTATATCTCACTTTTAATTTTTGAAAGGGGATTTAGTTTAATTGTTCTTTAAAGTATAAATGTGAAATACTGTATTCCTTTTCTTATGTAAATTAAGATATTAGACATAATATCAAGTGTACTAGCCCACACTTATTTGTGCACCAAAAAAATTGTCAAAGAACCTCTTTTATTTTTCAATTAATTTCACTCCTAAATAAGTAATTAAGTATCGATTTTTGTATAGAAAATAACATCTCTGGAAACAGTGTCTGTATATCTTAATGCCTCTGGAAATACTCCAAACTCAGCAACACACTTGAAATTCCATCTTTCCTTAGTCAAATATATAGAGTCAGGACCAATCCTGAAGCTACAGTTAAGATAACTATGTATCCCATATCTTCTAATTTCTTGGGATTGTAATCTTTCCAATAAAGGCAATTAAAAATACATTCACAAATGTTATTTAAGTGAATGCTTTGGAACTCTTTTCTCATATATTGGTAAGAAAAAAAATATTTGATTGGATCACAACCCTCCCTCTTTTGGCTGAGAGAATATGGCCCCTGCAGCTCTAAGTAAAACTCTTGCTCCATCCCTGCGAGTGAGCCCTGCAAATAAGAGGGACGCTTCTCCTCTGTGCTTGAAACTCCTCACCACTGTGTGCAACTCCAGGTATTCCGGGATGATGGTGCTGGGGGAAAGTGCTCAATCTTGGGGAAGAATCTTGTGGAGATGTAGAGCTGAACAGTGGCTTTTCGGGCTTCTTCATAGTAGTCGGAGAAGACATATCTGCAAAGGAAGAGGGGAGAACCCAAACTTTACGACTTTCTTCAGCTATAAAGTTCACGTTAATATAACAAGAGATCTCATTTTCCAACATTTCATTATTTCTGTACTTGGGCTCTTCTACAAAATATGTACTGAGGGTCAAAGACCCAGTTATGTTGGAGATTTGAAATATGTCAGAAACAATCTCCACTGAAGTTAACCCAAGGCTTTATTAAAATTATCGCCGGAATTATTTCTCCTACTAAATATATCTTGAACTTTTGAAAAACTAAGGCTCATGTTTCCCTTGGCGCCTTGGTTCACATCAAGGTCGTTTTTACCTCAGCATTTCATTCTTAGATTTATACGATTCAGGGGTTTGTCTTTTTGACCTGCTGACTACACTGTGGAAAAAAACAGAAGAAAACCTGGTGCAAATGTGAAAAACAACTTTCGGGAACGCTGGTAAGTCTATCATTGATTTCACATCTTCTATGGAAAACTCATTACTTGTTTAACAAAAAGTACATTCCTTAATTTGCTCATTCTGCAAATATTTATTGGTTTCCTCTATTTGCCAGGTAAAGTGAGGATGTTATGAAAAATACAAAGTAACTGCTATAGGGATACTCACTGTCAGTGAAGGGGAAAATGATAAGAAGAAATTGGCTGTCAACAGTTGAGAGGGAGGAAGCGTGTTGAAAGCAGGCGTGTTGTGTTGTGGTGTTTGCTGGCTTTGCTGCACAAGGGCAGTGACCACCTCAGCCTCCCCAGGTTAAGGAAGATGCCTCAGTGGCGCCATGTTTAAAATGTGGATGGGGATGACACTCCCAGAGAGAGGAAATGTTCTGGAGAATGGAGCATAGAAAACAAGTAGTACAAGTAGTCTGTGAAGTGGTGAAGTACAGAGATGAATGAAGGAGCAAGTAGCTGGCAGGACCCACACAATGAGGGGCCATGTGTGTAAATATCTGAATGTTTGCCCTGATGGGGGAGTGCTATTGATGAGCAAAATATGATCACACATTTATAGTTTAAGGCCGTCCCTCCCGAAAGTACATGGAGCATGAGTTAGCCAAAATGGAGACAGCAATCATGGAGACCACTTGAGAAGACAGATTTATTAATACATCCTTCCATAAATATTTCTTGAAGGCTGAATTTATGCCAGACACTACACTAGTTGCTGGAGACACAATGGTGAACTAGATTAAGTTTCAGCCTCTACAAAACTTTTTTTTTTAAGATTTTATTTATTTATTTGCCAGAGAGATAGAAAGAACACAAGCAGGGGGAGCGGCAGGCAGAGGGAAAAGCAGGCTCGCCACCGAGCAGGGAGCCCGATGCGGGACTCGATCCCAGGACCCTGGGATCATGACTTGAGGCAAAGGCAGAGGCTTAACCTACTGAGCCACGCAGGCATCCCCAGCCTCTACAAAACTTAAAAACTAGGGAGGGGATACACACGTGCTAAAAAGGAATTATAAAACAGTGTGAAAATTGCTATGGTAGATAACACTACCACAATTATCAACTCATAGCCAACCTTATTTCACCTTTACCCCATCTATGCTCCCCCACCCCCCATTTCACTTTGAAGCAAATTGCAGACAGCACAGTATTTCACTTATGAATATTTCAATTTGTAGCTCTAAAAAAAAGAAGTTATTTTTTAAAAACCTAAAACTTCATCATATTAGATATATATGCATATATATATATAATATTCATTTTTAATTTTTTAACAAGAGAAAAAGACCTCACGTGCTGTTTTTAAAAAAAATTTTTATGGTGCTATTAATATAAGAAACTAGTTATCATTATGATTTACCATTTGAAAAATTACATAAGCTCTGGTAAAAGCATCCAATAAAATTAAATATGTGTTTTCAGCACACTGGCACTTAAAGAATGGATATGCTACTGTTAAAACATTAGACATCACAGTCTACAGAAAATGACAAGTGTATTTGTAGCTATAATTTCTGACTAGCTGGCTGTCACTAACCTATCAGAACTTTGATGCATTGGTGAACGATTTCCTTGTATCTTTTTCGAAAAGAAAAAATGAAGAAAGGAAATAGCTAACGAAACCACAGCAATTAATGCTGCTACAAAAAAGGAGAAAAAATGTTGAGACCATTTAAAAACAGACCAAAAAAGTTCATTTCAGCTAAGATACCTTCAAAATGTCAAAATAATACTTAATTTCACTTAAGAGCTATGTGATTTTAAAAGGTAATACTACAAATATAGGTTTTGGCCTGCTAGAAGCTAATCATAGACATCTACGTCTTTAGGAGTGGAAAGAACCTTTATTCCATCCCTCACTTTGCAGATAAAGTAATGTTTCTATTCCAAATTTTTAACTTAAAATTAAGTATAAGAAAAATAAATCTATTGACACTCTTATGCTCTACCTGTGCTTAAATACAGATCTCAAAATAAAATTAACCAGTGTAATCAGTTTCTGAAGACTCCATATAGAGGGGCGCCTGGGTGGCTCAGCTAGTTAAGTGTCCAACCCTTGGTTTCAGGTAAGGTCATGATCTCAGGGTCATGAGATCAAGTCCCTTCGTTGGGCTCCATGCTCAGTGGGGAGTCTGCTTGGGGATCTTCGCCCTCTGCCCCTCCCCCCGCTTACATGCTCTCTTTCTCTGTCAAATAAATAAATAAATCTTAAAAAAAAAAAGACTCCCTGTATGAGTAATAGAGCATTTACTGTACATGACTGAAAAACAGTGAAATATGACCAGAGCTTGGGAAGCAGAATAATGGTATTCTAGTTCTGTCATTTCTGGGGATGTTCCATCAAGGCTATTGCAAATACTGTAACTGCTTCCAAATTTTCATTAAACGTAGAGGGATTCACCTGAGTCACTTTCTGCAAAGAGCACATAAATCAAGGGTGTTTGTCCAGAAGTTCAACAAAATGGGTGATGACATCATTTTTGAGAAATGAAGCCTTTGCATTTTCTTACTCAAAATAATGCACTTGGCTTTCCTGGGTAATTATTACAGGTCCATTTATTATTTGGGTTCTCGTTAGGCATGCACCAAATAATAATGGTACCTTCGTTGTTCAGAACACACAAAGGAATTACATGAGGCCAACACAGCAGAAACAAATTATAATTCACTCTTCAAGTTGTAAAAGGGACCACAAATTGTCTTCTCAAACAGTCAAGTGAACTTATAACAGTAAAAATAAGAATCCACCCTCCATACTGAAACTACTTCTTTAGGAACAGATAAAGAATGATAGTGCAGAAAGTGGACTTGACCGCCATTGTCTTCCCACTAGATGAAATTATTTTTGAGCCCAACAGCCAGTGAAGATATACCCAGCCTGTGCAAGGCATATGCTAAGTGTGCAGGGGACGCAAAGTGACCCCCTCCCCACCATGGTCACAGGAACAAAAAAACTCACTGCAACGGAGAAAGAATAAAAATAAAATGTCAATTATCTAGGAGGAGGAAGGGTAGAGTTTCTGGCTATTACATTTTAATCATGAATCAAACTCGTATTGTTTTGATTTTAATTTTATTTTGAATGTCTGCAGTCTAGTAGACCTCATGCCAAACTGAAAAATGATACTGTTTCTATTTTTAATGCACTTCTATGCTACAGAAATAAAAAAAAAATGTTTGAGGAATGAATATATAGGAGAGATGGTTTTAAGTGACCTTTCTGTGGAAAAAACCAAATGTCACGCTTTTCACAGTGTATTGTCCCTCAAGCCGGAAGAATAATACATAAAAAGATTAAGTTGAAAATAAGTCGAATAATAATAAAGCTGAATAATATATAAATATATAACAAGTTGAATAATAATACAAACATAATAATGCACATGTTGAATAATACATGAAATAAAGAAGTTGGCGAGAGAAGCAAGATGATAAGAAAAGATTAGCCCGTGTTTCTAGGGGTGGGAAGGAGGCAGGAGTAGCTGGGGGTCCATGAGAAAGAAGCAAAGTCAGTGAGGGCTTGCCATCAGACAAAGACATTTAAATTTGATTTGGAAAGTAACAATTTATAAATGAATTGATCTCAGGAGGGAAATGCTTTCCAAAAGCTCTCTATTTTTTTTCTGTATCTTGTAGCTTCCACTCAATGCTTTTCGCTTGTACCTGGTTAAATCAAAAATTTCCTGTCTAGTCTCCTCCCAGGAGGAAGGAAGGAGGAGGAAGGAAATCCTCTCTTTCAGACAATATCTTCCTCACATTAAGATCTGTGATGGTATCACAATTTTCTTTTCCTTATCGTTCCATTTTATTGAAGCTTTAGCTAAATTCATTTACTTATGGCCTCTTGGAGGAGGAGGGAACCAGGAGGAATGTGCTTCTAACTCTTTCTTTGCAGATGACATTCCCTTGGGCTAGAAAATGATGTCTTTCTACCCTCTTATTCCAGCTATGGAACAGTATTTTATCCACTGAACCAACTTGATTTATTTTCTCTTTAAGCATTCCCTCCTGGGACTGTGGAGGTTTAGATTTCCTTAATGATCTTGTGTTTGTGTCTGATATTATCTGACGGATTTTTTTTTAATTATTATTTTGTACTTGTTCTATCCATAGAGTAAGTGAGTGAGTGAGTGTGTGTGTGTGTGTGTGTGTGTGTGTGTGTTTGAGCTGACTGATGGCTTATCTCCTACAGAAGATAATTTTATTAAAGATGCAAAGACATATGGAGGCTGGAAGAACATGCTCAGGAAGAGAATTTTTAAAAATCTTGCACCGAAACACAGTAGAAGAGGTAGAACAGATGCTGTCTAGGCAGTTTATCTCAGAATCTCTTGCATGTGAAAGCAGCTAGATGGTGAACCGATAACTGGGATATAAGATGAATAAAATAACCAGTCAGTATATCGTAAAATGCGTGGTTGCATGAACAGAGACCACCAGATGAGAAGTAACTGAATGTAAAGCAAAAAGTGAAAACAAAATCAGTCACTAAGTTTCTAGTAAGTGTGAGAAGCTACGGCAAGACCTCAAGTTCAAGATGTTAAATAAGA